AATTCTAGGAGGGTCGGGAACAGGCAGCTTTCATTAGATGAGCGTTTGAGAAGTGCACTGTGGAGAAGGAGTACATCTGAAATGAAATAAAACTGAAAAAGAATGATATTCTTCAATCAGCAGTTGCCATTACCCTCTTCCAATCTTTATGGCTCAGTCCAGTGGCCCTGGAAGAACAATGAAACACCATGGGGATAAGTTGAAACACAATTCATAACAGAAGGCTTCTTTAGATTTCATGTTTTGAAAACCAGAGAGCAGCTGCTGGGGGAAGTATACTGAGACACGCTAATGTATGACATAGATTTTCAAAAGTTCAGTAGATAGCAAAATAAAATCCATGCAAATGACAGAGCCTTGGAAATGCAACATTATTTATGTTATCGTTTAATACTTGGCTGAATATATATATATTTTTATTTATCCAAGAAGAAATCATAGCAAATATTACACCAAAAGAAATCTAATCTACAATACAAATGTACAGAGTCCCACACATGTATTTATGAAATGCTCTTCCCTCCAAAAAAAAAAAAAAAAAGCCATGCATATTTGTTGTGCTACACTGATTACCAAAAGACTGTCTTTATAACTAAAGAGGTAATTACCCCTTTGCTTCAAGAACATTTCTTCTCTTCCTTTTCTCTCTCTTCAAAGTGACTGCTGCCTAAAATATACAGGTATTTGAAGCAAAGTTTTAATCTTTCACCTTCCAGAAAACATCTTGTTCTATCTCCTTTAGATGTGTAATTCATTGATGAACATGTAGTAATAGGTTTGCAGAAACGACTGATTGAGTGCTTGTTGATGATGACTCATTATTGACGCGTTGATTTTTAGAAAGAAAATAAGGCTCAAGTGCCCACAGCCAGTGAGTGAGTACCCATGGCCTCCCACCCCCCAGTGAAACATGTTCAGGGTTGTTTTTCTAGGAATGGTGACAAATTTGCATGAATTTATCAGCAGAAAGTAGTGGTGGTTCAGTGGTAGAATGCTTGCCTTCCATACAGGGGACTCAGGTTCGAATTCTTTGCCAGTGCACCTCATATACAGTCACCACCTATCTATCAGTGGAGGCTTGCTTGTTGCTATGATGCTGAACAGGTTTCAGTAGAGCTTTCAGACTAAGACAGACTAGGAAGAAAGTCCTGGCAATCTACTTCAGAAAACCAGGCAACAAAAACCCTATGGATCGCAACAGTCTGATCCCATTGTGCATGGGGTCTCCATGAGTCAGGGACTGACTGGACAACAGCTTATAACAACAATAGGGAATACTAAGGAATGTGACAGAGTTCTTCCTCAATTTCGTTCCTCCATGGAATTCTCCTCAAGCCAACCGGCTCATCTCAACATTGAACTTAAAAGCAAGAAAATTAGAGAAAACCAGTATGGATAACAAGCAGATGAAATGTGGAGGACTCCTAGCTGTCCATGTAAAGAAAAGTATAGTAGAAAGGGTTTGCTCTTGGGAATGTGGATTCAATTCCTATCACTGTTATTTATTAGCTGTGCAGCACTGGGCAAGCTATTTAACTTATCTGGGTCTCTAGTTTCTTCACCTATAAACAATATCCACATTATAAAGTTGTCATGAAATTAAATGAATATGTACCATTGGCCAGAGGTAGGACTTGGTGAGTGAATTCAGTGGACCAGCATAAAAGTTAGCTCAAAATATACAAATATACGAAGCATGCCATCATAATTGGAAGCATCATCATGGTACTTGTACAGCAATTATTTGTGTTTCAAGAAGATCTTGATTCTGATGGCAGGTCGTCTTCATAATATAGATGTCAGAATGTCTTGAATGGGCTGGTTTAGTTAAGCCCAGATCAAACGAAGAAAAAGAGACCAATCAAGATCATTATCTTTACTACTTACTCTGGAATGTGTTTCTCAAATAGGTATTGAGATGAACGCCTGGTTGTTCTAACACACTCCCACAATTAACAACATACCCGAGTGAATTTCCATCTCGCCATCGCCCCAATGCCCTTTTCTTCCATATATTTTTTAAGTGACAAGGCTCAGTGCAAATTTTCCCCTTCTCAAACATTTAGGGCAGTTCCTGCCGAAACTCCCTTTTCTGCAAGATGATTTAGTACTTTACCCTTGCCCCAGACACTCTGACATTAGTGTTTAGTGTCCGATGTAAGGCTTATTCTCTCATATTTCATGGGTTGGAGAAAGAAGGAAGTCATGGGGTGTGGGTGAGGGAGAGGAACAGCAACATCCTGCTGATTTGGGGTTTTGTTTTCCAGAGTTCTTCTTCCACTGAACTGGTCCCCACCAGAACCAAGGCCAGTCTCTTTCCAGCCCCAGGTGTAGCAGATTGTCCACATTTGACCTACTATTGCCCTGATGAGAGTGTATGGTCTTGTGGCTGGTGGTCCCTTTCATTTCACAGGCCTGTCTCAGAGAAAAGGGAGGGGCTGGCATTGGAAGGAGGGAGGATAAGGATGCTGCAGTACCAGGGGCAGAGGTTAGCAAGTAGCCCCGTGAGGGACTACGAGATCACCTTAGGGGAAGGACCTACATGGAGAATTGGTTAATAAAGACACCCCGCCTTCTTCCTTGGCTGAAACAATGCTGGCTCTTGCTGATATGCGGAGGACGGTGAGGCCTCTCGTTGAATAGATTCTCCTTCTCTGCTCATTGCTAAAAATGCCCTGATGATCGTCTTCACTTATTTCAGAATTAGAAAGTATGGATAAAGTACTTCTCTATTGGTTTTCATTTTAAAATTATAGAAACAACAACCATAAATCTTGTTTCCTAGAGTTGGTACCCTGTTGGGTGGGTACTGGGATAACTTCCTCCCCATTTCCCTCCCCGTGGGAGTAGGGGGGAGATAAATGCCTCACCCTTTGTTTGCCACTTGGTTTCTAGTGCTCTGCCTGGACCACTTAGCACTCTCTCTGAATAGCTATAGGTCGGGAATAGTGGGCAGGAGCGTCAGAGAAGAGTTGGCGTGAGAACGGAACAGCACTACAGAATAGAAGGCAAGAGGGAAAGAAAGCATCCCGGAGGAAGAAAATACTGCTGCCTGGTACCCCCTAGCAGAGACATCCGGCCCATTGTGCTCACACCACTCCCCGGGTCAGCAGCGGCAGAGGAAGAATTACAGGCTTCAGTGGTGACGAGCTCAGGCAATGATGGGAAAGAGACTGGGTCCCTTCTGACAGAAATCATTTCAAAAACAGGAAAGCCAAGATATTATGAAATGTGACTCAGACCTGAGAATGAAAGGAGGGGATGAGAGCCTTCAGCTGAGAATAGATTAGCCCATTTTTAGTGTGAGTGAAGTGTTGACGTGGCGCCATCCCAATAAATGGATACATGGGGTACAGTAATAGCATTTAACACTGGGTTTCAAGAAAGTGGGCAAAGATAAAAAAGGGCTTAGTTCATGCACTAAAGCCAAAGTTGGCCTTCTTCTCATTTGGGGAAACTGCAGTTGGTTCTCTCAATGGCAGAAAGGAAGCTAAACTTAGCTACATAAGATCTGGGTTCTAGTTCCCACTCCATTCTACTCATTGTTAGCCAAGACCTTGGGTGGTTACTTTACTTGTTTTGTAACCTGTCTTCGAGGTTGTTAAAATAGGAACATATCAGATGTTCAAGAAGTGCTTATTGTAAAAATTATGAATGATATGACTCAAATACAAATGAAATTATACATTGACGGTCACAGCATCAATTCATACATAAGCTAATAGACTTTGCATGATTTGGGGCAAACCCAGCCAGTTGTCTGGCAATCATGGACACTAGTGTTTTCAATACTTCACCTTACTCTAGATATGTTTGTGTGAACAGGGTCATTACCTAAATATTAAATCACCATTGGAATCTGGTACCGATCACTGAATTACAGCATAATCTTTTAATACATTTATAGAAACACGATTTCAAATAGTAAACAAAAAAGTCTACTTAATTATGATTAGATTACACATAATTGGATTTTAGTGTTTTAGTAGGATCAAGGGGGAAAAAAGAAGGACGAAAAGTGAGGACAAAACTAATGAAGCAGAAGAGCCCATATTATGGTAGACAATTCGATCTTTGGGGGGTTTCATGTCATTTCCACTTGTCTTCCAGCCCAGAAGGCATTAAGATGTGTTCCATTTGCTAGAGTAGTTAGGGAAACCATAAAATCTGTGTCTTCTTCCTTACCTAGGATGACATCCTGCTTGAGGTAGACTCTGAAGATGTCCTGAAAATGAGGGGAAGGAGGGATGTTTAACACGGGATGGTGTCTTCCAGGCCTAGGACCAAGTAGAGGAAGGCAGAGTATGAGAACAAGAAGAATCCCACCTGAGTAATTTTTTGAAAAGTTTTGATTAGATGAGATGAAATAAAACAGCAGAGAAGCTGTTTTGAGGACTTTGGCCTTCGAACCCAAAGTCTGCTTTAAAAGCAAATTGAAGATAGGTCAGAAGGTGATCGGAATAATAGCTTAAATTACATAAAAACATCAAAAAAGACTCCCATACATATATGTGATAAGAACCCTTTTAAAAGAATTTAATGGCAATTCATTTGTTGAATCACCTCAGTGCTTGAACTTGAAGTAAGCTTAGGTTATTTTGCCAGAATTTTTTTTTTAATTATATCTTTACATGAACACACACACACTACTCATGCTTGTAGCTTCTCAACTAGTAGTAACTCAGGAAAGAATTTGATTTGTGCTTTCCAACCATTAGAGAGAGATTTTATTTGATCATGTGAAATCCACTCTTTGAGTAGAAAAGAGGTGATCACATGTTTGCTGACACAACTGATGCCAAGCCATTCAATGGCTTTTTCCCATCACTCTATTAGGTGCCCTAATGAAATCTGGGGCCAGGTTCTCATAACATGGACAACCCATTGCTGGGTGAGATGAGGGTAGGGGAGTGTAGGAGGAACTGTTATTCCCATTGTCTTCCACTGGAGATTTCCCTGGACTGATTTTCTGAAAATCTCCTTCTGTTTGCCTTCACCAGGAATGGCGGCCCTAGATAGTAAGGCATCAGGGAAGATGGGAATGCGAGCTGTAGTCTATTACATGACTACGACCATCATTGCCGTGGTGATTGGCATAATCATTGTCATCATCATCCATCCTGGGAAGGGCACAAAGGAAAACATGCACAGAGAAGGCAAAATTGTACAAGTGACAGCTGCAGACGCCTTCCTGGACTTGATCAGGTATGTCCTTGCAAGCCAGACCCTTTGGGTATATTTTGATCACTGAACCTCTTACCTTGGGGAGTTAATTAAACCCTGGAAGAGGTGTCTGACTGAACCAGCCTTGGTAGGCTTAAAATGAAAGCCACATCTTCACTTCTTTCTAACAGAAACTAAAGTAAGGATTTATTTTCTGATTTCATGTGAAAGAGGCCAAAGTGTAGCAAGGAGACGATGCAGATTTTGAGACCTCTGCTTTTAAGATTCAGAATGTGGTCACTCAGTTCTCATCTCAATGCTGCAGCTCACCTTGGAATGTTAATAATTCCTAACCTACTTTTTTCAAGGCTAATTTTTATTCATGTATGACCTGTTCATTGGACTCTTCTAATTTAGAACTTGTGATCTCTATCGTCGTCCATACACAACAATTTAGATCCAGAAGAAACCTTAGAGATCATCCAGTCATGTCTGTCCCAAGGTTTCCTATAGTACATTTATGAAGAAAGGATTTGGCAAATCAGTAATAAAAGAGTAAAGGATGGCTTCTTTAGCATTGTTCACATACAAGCCATCCCCATCCACTGATTACAAATGAGTCTATCTAATATTTGAAATAGACTTGGTAATAGGGTCAGTCTTACACAGAACTGTGAAGTAAGCCAAAGTTTGATCCTGGCACCTTTCTCCTTGCTCTCTGTCTACATCTACCCTTGCATCAGTCGGGGTCTTGGCAGGAAGCAGATTGCAGACTCAAACAGACAATTGAAGAGGGTTTGCAAAGGTGAGAGTAGAGTAAAGGACACCTACAAGGCATAGTGAGGCACCAGGGGACTAACAGCAATAGCAAGTATCTTGTTACCACCCCTAACACTGAAGGGGCAAAGGAAGGGAGCTATTAGCAAAACCTAGGAAGAACTGTAACCCATAAGCAAGAGCTTCAGAGTGGGAACTGTAGCTCTAATTTGGAGGAAGAGAGCTGCTGCCAAGTCATAGCCTGTCAAAGAGAAAGCTGGGAGAAATATACATCAACTCTCTCCTCTTACCCTGTGATCTGTCATTACATCCCTCTGGACAAACCCAACAAGAAGCCAGAAGGCAAGAGAATCCACATGCTACAGCTCATAGAATTTAGCCTCCCAGGACTCAGAGCAGTGTGGAGGGCAGGTCTAGAGGGGCAGACAGAAGATACCCCAGCACAGGCCTCTGGATTCCCCACTTGCTTAGGGTTCCCCACCATGTAGCCCCATCTAGCCTGTCCTTTCCCCTCCTTCTTTACAATTTATCTGCAAAACAACTAGTAATCTTAGATATTATAACCTACCCTATAGGTTTCCGCATTGATCATCTGAAGAGAACTCTTCCTAGGGGCTTGATTTCACACGGCATCTCAAGGGATGGGTCTGTGGCAGGTAGATTTAAGAGAGATTTGGGGAACAGAAGGGTTTTTCAGCAGCAACTCTCAATTTCCACTGTAGACTGTGCACCATCTGTACGTAAGCACACCCGAGCCCTATAGGGGCTCTTCTTGAAAGCCCCCTTTAGGGCGTTAGTCACAATGATCTGAAGGTAGTAAGACACCCTACAGCATTATTCCATACCAGAATGTCACCCAGTAGCTATGTTTTTGTTTAGTTCATACAGTTAATTAAAACTTTTTGTCATTTTTTCATTAACTTTACCCTTAGGAAGCTTGAATTAATACTTCTCATCCCTATGACAAGTATATTACCCACCAACCCACTCACCTCAAGCATTTATCCTGGAATCCCCAGTATGTGAATTGCAATCAAGTTTTATAGAAACAAGCTCATAGAGCACAGATGGGAAGGAAAAGGAAACAGGATAGCCTACGTGGTAGGAAGAAAGGGATAACAGTGTATAACCTTCGGATATGACTTTGCTAGCACACAGCTTCTAGAATCTTGGGCTGTTCAACTGCCCTAGGTCATATTTCCTTCTCTTGGAGTCTTCAATCATGGCACCTTAATGATAGTTTAATCCAGTCTCTTCTTTAACAGATGAGTCAGTTGAGACCTAAAGGAGTTCCATGACATGGCCAAGGTCACACAGCTGGTTAGAGACACACCAACCAGCAGGTGCCCCTACTCTTAGCCCCTCAATGAACTAAAACAGTGCTCTGAAGCAGTCTCTGAGGAAGTGACAAACCCTGCCACATGGGACTCAAATTCAAATATTGTTCACCATCATCCCGTTGGTCACCAAAGAGTCTCAGAAGCTCCCACAATTCAGTGCCAATATCCCACGTCCCAGAGGGCCTTTGGACTCAGAACAGAACAAAATTCCACAGCTCAACCATGACTTTTGATTCAGAACATTTGGTCTCTACTAAATGGAAAATTAATACTAAAATTGCTACTATTAAATAATAGCTCAGTTAACCAAAATGCATATGACAAAAGACATTTCCATTCTCATTTTGATATTCCCCAGGAGCAGAGTTTCTTTGTTTTGTTTTGATTTTTTGTTTTTTTATTGTGCTTTAAGTGAAAGTTTACAATTGAAGTTAGTTTCTCATACAAAAATTTATACACACATTATTATGTGACCCTAGTTGCTCTCTCTACTGTGACAGCACACTCCTCCTTTCCACCCTGGATTTCTGGCGTCCATTCAACCAGCTCCTGACCCTCTCTTTCTTCTAGGAGCAGAGTTTTGATGACAGTGTCTGAACCAAGTATCACGTGATCTGACAAGAGGACAGATGAGTTGAATTTGGGACTTCCCTGAAAAATATGGGCCATACTTAGGGATGACCATATGTCCCAGTTCAAGTTATGAAATCTACCAAAATCTTTCCCTTTCATTGATTCAATGCAATCTTTACCTTAGACACACTGAAATGGTATTTAAGGAGCAAACTTATTTGGGAAATTTTTCAAGTACCTGTTGCTTTCTTTGCAGGAACATGTTCCCTCCAAATCTGGTGGAAGCCTGCTTTAAACAGGTAAATACTCTACCGACACTAATTCACCTTGAAATTCCTCTTTGGCAACCTTAGCATACCAAACAGAGTGGGACCTTCTTTCTTTCCCCCCTCTCTGCAATAGGGAACACTTTTTGCCAACCAGATGGAAACCACTAGGGTTGTCTGGGTTATTTTGGAAGGAGAGGGTAGTTCTTACCTTATCCAAAACCAAAAAACCAAACCCGTTGCCGTCGAGCTGATTCCGATTCATAGCAACCCTATAGGACAGAGTAGAACTGCCCAACAGGGTTTCCAGGTTTTTCCACAGGGTTTTCTGCTTCTCTGTGGTAGCAGACTGCCACATCTTTCTCCCTTGGAGCAGTTAGTGGGTTCAAACCGCCCACCTTTTGGTTAGCAGCCGAGTGCTTAACCACGCCCCACCAGGTCTCCCTTCTTGCTTTGTACCGAGGGCTTATTAGTTGCTAGACACTATGCGTCTTGCATAAAATAGCTCTTAGAGTCTGTTATTGTTAAGAAGGGTAATCAGAAGACCCCTCCCTCCTACCTCTCCTGCCCTGTTGCCCCCCAACAAAATCTCACTGAACAAGCAAATTTCAATGTAAGATACATCTACAGCTTACTTTTAAAAAGTTGAGAAAGATTCTTCCGGTTTCTGGTTTGATTTAAAAGCCTCCTAAAGGCCTTTAGTATTCTAAAACCAGTAAGCAGTTGCTATCAAGTCGACTCTAGCTCATGGTGGGTCGGTGTAGAACGGCTCCATAGGGTTTTCAGGGGCTGATTTTTCAGAAGTAGGTCACGAGACCTTTCTTCCGAGGCAACTCTGGGTTAACTCAAACTTCTAACTTTTCGGTTAGCAGCCGAGCGTGTTAACCATTTTTACCACCCAGGGACTCCTATGTATTCTAAAAGGGGGAGCCATATCAGAAAGGAATAACATCATCATTTATTGAATGCCTGCTATGTGTCCAGCACTAATATTATATGATCTGACATGATAAATATAAATATGGTGAGTATATAAATATAAATATGGTGAGTATAACTGTCTTCATCACACTGATGAGGCAACTCATCTGAGAGATCAGGAGGATTATGTAACAGGCCCAAGATTTCATAAGTAGTAAATGGAGGACCCAGAATTCAAATCCATTGTGTTGACTCCAAATTCTGTCCTTTTTCTACTACTCCATTCTGCTTCCTAGAAAGGTATATACAGGGTGGTGAGACACCTGGAGGCTGTAGAGGACCAGTTCCTTTAGCCCCATAGCCAAGCAACTCTTGGCTTTCTGGGTTGTGGACACAAATACATTTCACCAGTAAGGGATAAAATTAGTAAAATTTTTCCACCAGTTTAATAAAAAAGCTTTGTTGCCCAAAGCATTAAAAGGGAAAACAATTAATTAAAAAAAAAATAAGAAAAGAAAACAAGAAGGGCCCAAATAAATACCAGGCGGTAGACCTAAGGACACTTCAGTGTTCTAGAAGAAGTAGGAACAGGTGAGGGCACATGGGCTTTGTAGTCTCTTGATCCTGAGTTCAAACCCCAGTTCTTTCACATATGAACTGTGTGACCCTAGACAAGTTACCTAACCTTGCTCAGCTTCTGTTTCCTCCCTGATAGAAAGGGGATAATAATGCTCCCACAAAAGTTTTTTGTAAGAAGGTAGAGATTACCTATAGAAAGTACCTGGCACACAGTAGGAGCCCAATAAATGGTGGTTATTCCGTGGACTAGATATTGGCCTTCTTTCTATTCTGCCTTTGTAAAAACAAATTAAGAAGAGGAGAATGGGAGCTAACAAAATTTACCCTTAAATACTAGTGTTCCTCCTGGGAATGTTTAATACTTCCAGGAAATCTAACAAACATCCAGGGAGGAATGTGAGCTAGAGACATGGCTGGCCCCAAGGACTGTGTTATCTCACATTCCCAAATTAACAGAGTCTAATAAACTGAATGACATCAAATTATTCTCATTGAGAGTAATTTTTGGAACCCCACTGGATAGAGATACAAAGGAAGGAAAGAAAAGAAAGGAAAGGGAAGGAAAGAAAAGAGAAAAAGAAAGGAAGGGAAGATATAGACAAAAGGGAGGGAGGGAATTAGACATCCTGGGCTAAATAAGAGTTTTCAAACATTTCTCCAAACCAATAAACCAAGTAGCCAACAAGTCGATTCCAACTCATGGTGACCCCATGTGTGGAGAGTAGAACTGCACTCCACAGGGTTTTCAAGGTTGTGACCTTTTGAAAGCAGATCACCAGGGCTTTCTTCTGAGGTGCCGCTGGGTAGATTCAAACCACCAGCCTTTTGGTTAGCAGCCAAGCACTTAACTGACTGTGCCACGCAGGGACTCCTACGTTTTTCCAGATGGTGTCATTTCACCCCATTGTAATTCCCTAACCCTGTGCTTAGGATCTGTAAGACAAACAAAACCCTGACCTTGTGGAGAACAGGATTTTACACATATAAGTCACCCTTTGTTTTTCGTTCCCCTTTTAAAATTTTTTAATTAAAACTTTTTAGTAGGTAATACATCAGAAACTGCAAATTCAAGAAGTATCTTTTGTTTAAAAAAAAAAGCCTAAGAAGCCAAAATCTGACCTTTTTATTCAAAAACATCTGTGACCATAAATAATAAACCCCTTTCAATCCTACCAGCCAGTCCCGGCACCATGGGGTTGACTGTTCCAGTTAGTCAGGGGGTATTGGGTGATAGCAGAAATGCTGATTTCCAGATCTTTCTGATGGGAAAAGTGCTGACTCAGGCAGATTTGTTGTATTTGTCTTTGGATTGCATTTACGGGATTTTGAAAGGGAAGCAAATGTACCTTCCCAGATCTCTTTTGCTTAGACCAGAATACAAACAAGGTTTGCAATTTCTCTGTCAGCTACTATATTTGTTTCCTAGGACTGTGCAATAAATTACTACAAACTGGGAGGCTTAAAACAACAGACATTTATTCTCTCACACTTCTGGGGGCTAGAAGTCCAAAATCAAACTGTCAAGCACGGCAGGGCCGTGCTTCCTCTTAAGGGAAGCGCTAGAGAAGAATCCTTCCTTGCCTCTTGCTAGATCCTGTGGCTCCCAGCAGTCCTTGGTTTATGGCTGTATCACTCCAATCCCCACCTCTGTCTCCACCCGGCCATCTTCCCTGTGTGTCTCTGTATCCAAATCTCCCTTTCCTTTCTTTTGTAAGAAGCCCTGCTGATGCAATGGTTAAGCACCTGGCTGCTAACCAAAAGGTCCACGGTTCGAATCCGTGGGAGAAAAGAACTGTCAATCTGCTCCTGTAAAGAATTACAGCCTTGGAAACCTTATGGGGCAGTCCTACTCTGTCCTACAAGGTCCCTATGAGTTGGAATCAACCCAACAGCACACAACAATAATGACATAAAGATGCCAGTCATTGGATTGAGGGCCCACCCTAATCCAGGACGACCTCAGCTTAACTTGATTATATCTGCAAAGACTCTAGTTCCAAATAAGGTTACGTTCACAGGTACTAAGTGTTAGGACTTGAACAGATCTTTTAGGGGAAACAATTCAACCCACTACAGCTACTAACTGTGTCTAAGTAAAAAAAGTTGGAAAGATAGGAAAGGTTGATCAGGATTGAAGATCCACCCTGGACAATCCATAACATGCATAGCCTCCCCCCCAACCCCCACCACCCACCCTCAACGAATGAAGAGAATTTGACAGTTGACTGGAATAGGAGATAGGCAGGGACCAATTTCTTTGCTTAAAATTACCTCGGACTGTGCAAGGGCATGTCCATAGTATTGATAGCTGGCCACATCCTTGTTTGGGAATAGTAGTTTCCCAATGAACAAGAAAGTCTCCCACTTACTATTAGTAAAGAAAGGATCTAGCACTTCATGTACAAATGTATTTTTTTCCCTGACACCTTACATTCAGCCAACATTCATTCATACATTATTACTCTCTCTGGTATTCTACCATCACCATCAAAGCCAAGAATTCTTCTGCTCTAGTTAAAATCATAGAGGGATGGACTTAATTGTTTCATATGGTCACATTAGTGAACTCAACGTCTTCTGTCTACGGCATCTCTGTAGAAGTGATGGGGAAAAGGCCATCTCTTGAGTAAGAAGAGAAATGCCTCTATGGACTTACGAAAGTGAGTTTTCACCATCAAATGTTAATTAGGCACCTATTCTTAAAAATGATAGGATGGCTATTATCAGAAAAAAGGGAAACTAAAAAGCATTAGAGAGAATGTGGGGAAGTTGGAAAACTTGTCCATTGCGGGAGGCAATGTAGAATGGTACAGACACTATGGAAAACAGTCTGGTGGTTCCTCAAAAAGTTAGACATAGAATAACCATAAAAACCAAACCACTACCACCTGAGTTGATTCCGACTCATAGTGATCCTATAGGACAGAGTAGAACTGCCCCATATAGTTTCCAAGGCTGTAAATCTTTATGGAAGCAGACTGCCACATCTTTCTCTCACGGAGCAGCTGGTGGATTCAAACCACTGACCTTTGGGTTAGCAGCTGAGCACTTATCCACTGTGCCACCAGCAATTCCACTCCTAGGTATATACCCAAGAGACTTGAAAGCAGGCACTCAAACAGATAGATGTGCAACAATGTTCACTGCAACACTATTCACAATAGTTAAAAGGTGGAAACAACCCAAGTGTCTGTCAGCAGATGAATGGATAAACAAAATGTGATATATACGTACAATGGAATATTATTCTGCCATTAAGAGAAATGAAATTCTGATACGTGCTATGATATGAGTGAAACCTTGAAGATATAATGCTGAGTGAAATAAATCAGACACAAAGGGACAAATATTGTTATGATCCCACTTAAATAAAATAATGTATGTAGAATAGGCAAATGCATAGAGACAAAGTTTACTAGCGGTTACCAGGGGCTGAGGGGAGGAGGGAATAGGAGCTGTTGCTGAAGGGGTACTGAGTTTCTGTTTGGGGTGATGAAAAACATTTGGAAGTGGATACTGGTGATAGTATATAACACAGTAAAAGTGATGTCACTGAATTGCACACTTAAAAATGGCTAAAATGACAAACTTTTTGTTATATATTTTTATAATAAAATAATAATAATAATAATAATATTAGGAATGCCTTGAGAACTGTTTGTCTGGGGATTTTTAAAATCCACTGAAATCTTCAACTAAATCTAGTTCCTGAAGGACTTTGTCACTGAACACCACTAGCCAACAATAGTATGGTGCTTTAAAGTTTACAAAATGTTTTCATATATTCTATTTAATTTGATCATCACAATAATCCTGTGAGCTAGAACAGCACAGTTACCTCTGTTTCCCAGCTGCAAAATATGAGGACAAGGATAGTGAATGCCTTCTATATGATCCCATAAGGAATAAAAGGGACTATCGTGAGTATTCAGAAGAAAGCAAAAGCACATGTGGATGTTTAGTCCAACATCTTTAATCAGATACCTCTTTCCTGTTAAATGTATTTGACTGTGTTTGTGTCTGTCTACCTGTGTTGAGTAGGTGATGGGGATTTGTAACAAGACAGATAGATGATAGGTGGTAGATAGACAGATGATAGATAGATAGATAGATAGGTAGGTAGGTAGGTAGATAGATTTAGACACTTTATATAAACACTGTTCTCTGAATACAAAGTAACGTATATTACAGAAATTCTGGACAACAGGGAAGTACAAAAAATAAAAATCACCTTTAATTCCTGTTGGGCTTTTTCGTTTTAAGTTTAAAACCAACTATGAGAAGAGAAGCTTTAAAGTGCCTATCCAGTCCAACGAAACACTCGTGGGTGCCGTGATAAACAATGTATCAGAGGCCATGGAGACGCTCACTCGAATCAAAGAGGAGCTGGTTCCAGTTCCAGGATCTGTGAATGGAGTCAACGCCCTGGGGCTCGTTGTCTTCTCCATGTGCTTTGGTTTTGTGATTGGAAGCATGAAGGAGCAGGGGCAAGCCCTGAGAGACTTCTTTGATTCTCTTAATGAAGCCATCATGAGACTGGTAGCAGTGATAATGTGGTATGTATTTCCATTTGCTCTATTTGCTATATAAACCAGTTAACCCGTTGTCATCAAGTCACCTCTGACTCATGGCGACCCCGTGTGTGTCAGAATAGAACTGTATTCCACAGGGTTTTCAATGGCTGATTTTTCAGAAGTAAATCGCCAGACTTTTCTTCCAAGGTGCCTCTGGGTGGAATCGAATCTCCAATTTTTTGGGTAGCAGCTAAGGTTCCTGGGTGTTTGCACCACCCAGGAACTGTATGTGCTATAAACATGATGCTTATTGCTACCCATATATGTTCTGTATTGAGGAAGATGCCACCAGGCTGAAGGGCAGGATGGCCAATTGCAATGATCTTGTTCTGGAAAGCACACGAAAATCAGTAAGTAGTTTCTTGGCCTGTAGAGGTCTTGAAACTATCTGCAAACCTGCCTTAGTAAGTCTGCTTGCTTGTTTTTGAAAGGTATCAACTCCTTTACCCTAATGCTGATGGGATCCCATTCCTCACTCCTATTTTACATCTATTTAGTTACTCATTAAATAAATATTGATGGAGTGTCTACTATGTGCCAAGCATGCAGTGCCAGGCACTGGGAATGTAGCAATCTAGAAAATATACAAAAATGTTCTGTACCTTACATTCCTTTGGAGGGAGACAGATAATAAATAAATCAACTGTATGCTTTAAATTAGGTACAAGTGTTATGAAAAGGAATAAATAAAACAGCAGGTGACGTGTAATTTGCCTTGGAAGGTGTGAAAAGGCCTCTGAGTCAGTGACATTTTTGCTAAGACCTGAACGACCAGGAGAAAAGCATTGCTGGTTGTTCTTGTTGTTAGGTGTCATTAGCTTGGTTCCAACTCATAGTGACCTTATGTACAACAGAATGAAACACTGCCAGGTCCTGCACATTCCTCACAATCCTTGCTATGTTTGAGCCCGCTGTTACAGCCACTGTGTCAGTCCATCTCATTGAGGATCTTCTTCTTTTTCACTGAGCTTCTACGGAGCATGATGTCCTTCTCCAGGGGCTGATCCCTCCTGATAACATGTCCAAAGTACGTGAGACAAAATCTCACCATCCTCCCTTCTAAGGTGCATTCTGGCTGTACTTCTTCCAAGATAGCTGGGGAAAAGCAAATGCAGAGGCCCCTGTTCTTCATTCAGCAACTGACTCATGGCAACCCCACGCACAATGGAATAAAACACTGCCCAGAAATGGCCATCCAAGGAACAGCAATTGGTCTGTATTCACCTGGAGCAACAGAGCGAGGACAGTTAGGAATAGGAAGAGGATGTGGAATGTGTGGCTAACTGCCTCCATGGACAACTCCTTCCTTTGTCGTGAGACCAGAAGAACTGGTTGGTGCCCAGCTACTGTTACCGAACATTATGATCAAAGATTCTCTAGAAGAATCTGGATCAAAAGGGGAGAAACACAGAACAAAATTTAAAATATGCATGGACTTCAGACTTTCTGGAGCCATGGAGGCTAGATAAACCCCTGAAACTATTGCCCTGAGATAATCTTTAAACCTTAAACCAGAAGTATCCCCTGAAGTCTTCTTAAAGCCAAACAATAGTTTAGCTTACTAGTAAAAAATGTCTGCCTTGAGCATTATGCTCTTTTAGGAACTATCTGTATGGGATCAAATTGACAACAGCAACTCGCAAGATTAGATAGAAACCTTAGGGGTCAGTGAGTTTATGTTAATGTGGGAGGAAAAACTCAGAAAAGAAGGGTGAGGATGGTTGCACAACTCAAAGAATATAATCAATGTCACTGAATTGTACATGTAGAAACTGTTGAATTGGTGTGTGTTTTGCTGTGTATATTCTCAACAACAAAATAAATAAAATTTAAAAAAAAAAACGCTGCTGGGTCCTGCACCATCCCATGATCAGTTATGAATTGGACCATTGTGATCCATAAGGTTTTCACTGGCTACTTTTCAGAAGTATATCACCAGGCCTTTCTTCCTACTCTTGAAGCTCTGCTGAGGCCTGTTCAACATCATAGCAACGCAAAAGCCTCCACTGACACAAAGTGCATTGACCGGGCATTGAACCTGGGTCTCCTGCGTAGAAGGCAAGAATTCCACTACTGAACCACCAATGCCTCGCAGAGGCCCTAGGCCATTAGAAAAACTGACGTATCCTATTTCCTTTCAGCTCTAGAAACAAATAAAATGGCAGTTCTGCTGCACACCTGAAGGACTCATGGGAAGGATGATAGAATGCCAAGCCACAATTTATAACAAAACTTCCCTTAATAAAGTTGAGACCAGGAGACAAAGGAAAAGACTAAATCCAAAGAGAAACATGGACCTTGGAAAAGTAAATTCTTCCCAGCTGGGAGAGTACTCTTTGATGGCTGTAGGCCTCATGTGGAGGTTGCTATTCTTTTATTCTTTATTTTTAATGCAAACTCTTCCTTGGCACCTGAGGCAGGAAGGCATCCATTTTCTAAGAAAAGCACTCACCCACCAACATGATTAAAAATATCTTTTGTCTTCACCGTTCAGCCTGGGAGTGGAAAGCCCCGTAAAACCAAATGAGACTAACGAGGTACAGGAGTCCAGTGACAAGGGCCAGAAGGCAGAAGGGGACAAGGAAGCTGGTGA